AAACTCACCCATTACCCAAAGCTGCTTTCACATTTTTAGGTATTTGTTCCAGCAGCACTCCACTGTTAATACCAAAATCTGTTAGTAAGGCTTCTCCATAAGAACAAAACCAACAGGAATTGGCTTATTCAATTATGGAGGATAAGAAATCCCAAGGTCGGTAGCTGGCAAGCTGAAGACTCAGGAGAGCCAATGATGTAGTCCCAGTCCTAAGTCCAAAGGCCTGAGGATCAGGAGCCTGAGGGTGTAGGTTCAGTCCAGATTGGCAGGCTTGAGACCCAAGAGGAGGCAGTGCAACTCCTTCTTATTCTCAGGAGGACCAACCTTTTGTTCTCTTCAGTCCTTCAAATGAGTGGATGAGTCACCCACAGCAGGCAGGGCAACGTGCTCTACTCAGTCTACCCATTCAAACAGAATCTCATCCAAAATTACCTGCACACACACACACAGAGGACAATACTTGACCGAATATGTGGAACAGTTTTGAGTTGAATGTTAGAAAATCCTGGATTACTGTTAGTAGAAATATGGATATTAAAGATAATTCTATCTGCCCCTGTGCCCTATCTCCTCCCTTTCAGATGGGGGATGGGCACAGGTGGTTTGGTGGAGGCAATAAAAAATATTTTTAATACATGTTGAGTGAAAAAAAATTTAAAAATAAAGATGGTTCTAGTGAGGATTCAGAAAGAGGAGAGCTGAAGAGAAAGCTTCCAACGTCTAAGAGAATACATAATCACAAGCAAACGTTGGTAGAAATCTGGTTGTTAAAAGCCTTTCTGGGGATGTTTCAGATAGAAATGAGGGTCTGGTAATTGAAAATTAGGGGAAAGGCAACATTTTATACAATGGTAAAGAACCCATCTGAATTGTGTTATGTTTTGTAAAGACAGAATTTGGGAGTGTCAAAATAGTATATTTTAGCAGAAGAAGAGAGTTCAAAGATTTCTTTTTCTAAAATATTTAAGATGCAACTTTGGGTTCATCCAAGTTCATTTTCAGAGATCTGGAAAATCCACAAGCTATCCATAGTGCAAATATTGAACTGGTGAGTTCCAGAGTGCCAGAAGTAGGGCAGAAGAAACAAAGTCCCCATGGCTTTCTGGGGAGACACCTCCTGTGAAGGCAGTGGCCTTCAAAATCCTGGGCAGTCACCCTTGGGCTGCCCCGCCCAGGGCACCATGTGCCAAACGATCACCCAGAACTTCGGCCTTCAGCATTTCTCCAAAGGCTACATCTTGCACGAGAATATCAAATCAGCACAAAAGTTGATGGTATGGCAAAGCATTATGTAGGGAAAAGTCTTTTGGGTCCAGATTATGTGATCACATGCCTAATGAGATCAGAGCTGGAGAACTGGTGTGGCCAACACTGGCTACTAGGGGATTTTCCTAAGACTGTAGTTCAGGCTGAAACCCTGGACAAAATCTATGACCAGAATCCAGATTCACTCTGAACATTCCATTTGAAATCCTCAAAGATTATCTTAGATGAGATTAGATTCACCCTCGTAGTGGAAGGGAAGGTAGTCTGGATGTCAATCCCTTTCATGTACATGGAATAGAGGACCTCACTGGTGAACCATTAATTCAGCAGTTGCTGCCAGGCTAAGAGAGTACAAGGATATGGCAAAGCCAGTCATCGAATTGTGCGAGTGGCAAAGAGTGCACCATCAACTTTCTGGAACATAAAATCTGGTGCTTTTCAAAACAAGTTCATGCCTATTCAGTCTAAAGATGCATGCTAAGTTTGTCCAGTGGAAGAACCAGAATGATGTTTTATTGAATTGTATATGTTGTGGGCATTCCTGGTGGCAGAGGGGTTAAAGATAGCACCATCAAGCTACCGCCAGCCACTGCAGCACCAGTTTGATCTCTGGCCAGCCAGGGAGCTAACAACCCACATGGTGCAGCAGACCTCTCCTGTCTCGCCCGCTGCTCCCCTCAGCAGTGTATTTCAGTAGATCTGCCTGTTCTTCTCCCCATTCTCTCTGGTGAATCCTCTCACTGGCCCCCACGCCGCACCTCTGGCTTACACCCCAGTTCTTGTATACATAAATAAATCTTTAAAAAAAATTGTATGTGTTGTATTAGTGCCATAGCCTGATTGGAAGCTAGTTAAGATAACTTGCAGTATCTTTTCTAATTTAATAGTGAACTGATATGAAAACTAATGAATAGAGCTAATGAAGGGTCACCTGTGGTTCGATATCTCTGTCTCAAGTCCTTCACAGGAAAGCAAGTACTGACTAGATTTCAAATGGTGTGTAACCCAAGCCATGTTGCTGGCATGGTGCCTTTTTATGGGTGGTGGGGGTGAGCTCTGATTCTCCATATCCCAGAGAGGTTATTGAACTTTCCCATCAGTAGCCCTGAGACTGGGCCCTCAGGTTACCCCAGGTTCTCTGGTCTGTGCCCCCCTGAGACAATGAGATTGAAACCAGTTGCTTAAGTGGTCTCTTCTCTGGTCCTGACTGTGTGAACAATTCATCATTTCTATCAGGAATGACAACTTTTCTGTATCTATGCTCCTTAGAAATCTCTCCTTTTCAGACATTCTAGGATGAAATAGTTTGGTGTCTACTGTTTTCTTAGTTTGCATTTTTTGAGTGTTTCTCCTTCCTGGGCCATTAATAGTTATTGCTGAAAGGAGCTGAGAACTAAGAGATGGTGTGGATCTCTGCATGTATCAGGAGCTGAGCTCGGCAGCGGGGCTCTAGCTGCTGGTCTGACTCTCATGGTTAACCCCCTGTTTTTTACTGTGGAAAAATAAAATCCCCAAAGTTTTTTGATCTTCAAAAAGTGGGACATATTATTCAACTGCATAAATGTTAAAAGAGCTCATCTGATACATAGAATAAAGCCATGTGGAATTACTGGGCTCAAAGTTTAGCTTTTAATTCAAGATAAAAAATGCATTTTGAAAATATTGCGAAATATTGGTGCTAACTGCATTTACCTCTTGTGAGTGACCAAAGTATATAACAATTGGTAAAGGGATTGGAGCCTGGGGGCTTGAGGAAAATGTTGCACTAACTGTGCCTGGTCTGAATGTCACAGCTTTACTATTATGGCAAAACAAAACCTCTTTTTTTCCTATTCAATGATGCTTCCAATAGCATGGCCATTAAGCCTAAAAATTTAGATAAAACTATTTTGTCCCTAAGTGTAATATACTAAGCCAGTTACAAAGGATTTTTTTTTTTTTTTTAATGAGGACAGCTGTCTGAGGAGAGCACTGAGGATGTAGCCGGACCACCATTCGATAGAGAGCTCATGGGTCCAATTCATGGACTTCGTCATCTCAGTAGAGGCCAGGAAGTGAAAGGATTATACTGGCAAAGACACTGTCAGTTTGAACAGTTAAAAGGAAGGGAGAAAGTAGGAGATACTGAGCACAGGCTGGTGGAATTCTTGGAATCAATGGAATGAGACCACAGAGCTATCTTGCTGTACAGGTGCACTATTCATCAAGGAAAGGAGAGAATAACCCCAAAGTCCAGCCATGGATCCTCGAGGCTGCCCCTCCCACCACAGGCCCTGGAGGTAAGTCTGTGTCCTCCTGGTTTCAAAGGAAAGGGCCGCTAAAAGAGCTGTGTGGGAGTAATGCTGTCTCCCCAGTGGACATAGAAGGCTGGGCACTGGGCCAAAGAAAATGATTCTGAAAGCTTAAAATCAAATGGAATTTGCCTGGCCAGGTTTGGGGCTTGCTTGGGACCCATCATCCCCTCTTCTTTATTTCACTTTTGGAATGGGAATGTCTATCTGATGCCTGTTGACCACTGTATTTTGGAAGCACACAACTTGTCTGGGTTCATAGGTTCCATGCTGGAGAGAAATTTTGCCTCAGGATGAGCCATACGGCAAGTTTCACACATATATGATTTAGATATTTAGATGATACTTTGTACTTCAAACTTTAGAGCTGATCTAGGATAACTCTTGAAGGGAGAAGAGGGCCGTGTGTGTGGGGGGGGTGCTGTTGGGATAGAATGTATCTTGTGTACAATAAGGAATGAATTTGAGGAATCCAGGGGCAAAATGCTATGGACCCTGAATTGCGACCCCCTAAAATTTGTATGTTGAAGCCATACCCTCAATGTGTTGTATGTGGAGATGGGGCTTTTAAGAGGTAATTAAGGTTAAATGAGTTCATGAGGGTCAGGTCATCATCCAATAGGATTGGTGTCCTGGTTAGAAGGGAGGAGAGAGGCCAGAGCTTGCTGTTCACATTCACTGGCACTTTCTTCACCATGTGAGACCACAGAGAGAAGGCAGCTATTTGTAAGCCAGTAAAAGTGTCCTTACCAGACACTAAACTCTCCAGATGTTGTTCTTAGATTTCCCAGCCTCCAGAACCATGAGAAATAAATTTCAGTTATTTAAGCCTCCCAGTCAATCCTATTTGCTATGGTAGCCTAGAATAAGACAATTTCGGTACCTTGGTTTACCCATCCCTAACAGGATAATTATGTCTGTCTCATATGACTATTGTGATAACAGATTAATATGTGTGTAGGGAAGAGAATCCAGCACATATTAAGTGCCACATCTTTCTGAGGAATTGTTACGAAGATGAAGACCATGTTCAAGGTGCTCAGGTGTCTCACTTGCACAAAGGTATGATAAGTCCTTAACTGGGTATTTAGATAGCCTTGAAAAGTCCTACTCTCACGGCCAATGCTTACAACTCTACACTCTTATACCTTTGGTTTGCATTCTTATTAAGAATCAATTTCCCCAGGAATGATAGCAGTCATTATTTCTCAAGTGCTGTAAACAGATGGGGGTAAAAGATGCTAGGTGTCAGACCTGAGAGAATGAGGATGGAGACATAATTAGGGTTGAGGAGTAAGAGGGAAGGCTGAAGTTTCAGAAGCCTAATTCTTGCAAACATGAAATTAAGGAGAAAAATTGTATAAACTTGTGAGAAGCAATACCATTTAAATAAGTAATTGTGAAACCTGAATTATCACAGAACTCCAAAACTTTTAAGAGACTTCAAAATTTTTAAGACTGCATTTATTTGTCTCTAGAAAGTATCCCTGGGCTGGCCTTCTCACTTTTCATACTTGGGGAGGCTGAAACAGACAAGAGAATTCACTGTAAATGGCCAAAGAACAGTCAGTTCTCATATATACACACGAATATGATTAATAATGAAATTAATAGACATTTAAATTAATTTTTTTAAAGGGGGACACTTGGTGCTTTTCTTTTTTTTTTTTTTTTTTTTTAAAGATTTATTTATATAAGCACTGGGTACAGTCAGAAGCGCGGGAGGGTGAGAGAATTCACCAGAGCCAGAGCAGAGAGCAGAATAGGCAGAAGGACTGAAGTACACTGCTGAGGGGAGCAGTGGGCGTGGCAGGAGAGGTCTGTCGCACCATGTGGGACCCTCACCCAGCTGCCAGGGATCGAACCAGTGGTGCAGAGGCTGTGGGCAGCTTCGCAACCCAGTGCTCAACCGCTGCGCTACTGGGGAGGCCCCAGGCGTTTAAATTTAAAAATACCATTTTAACCCATTAAAATTCCATCATTTTAATAGATCCCATTTGTGGCAAGGATATTATGAAATCAGCACTTTTACACAGCTAGTGATATCATAAATTGGCACCATGTACCATGCCTTAGATTGTACCTACCTGAGACTACCTATGATTCAGCAATTCTACTTCTGGAAATCTATCCTAAAAAGTAATACAGAAAGGGTTAAAAACATCGGTTATGTTTATGAGAACAAAAAAACCCTGAAAACAAATGCCCAACAATTAGAAAACTGCCCCAATTCATGGGCCATTAAAATTTATTTAAAAAGACTATATAGTGACCTCTAAATATGCCAATGATAGAAGAAAAAAATAGAACCCAATGTTATATGCCTATACTTTCTTAATTGAGTTACAGAGGAAAAAAATTGGAGAATTTTAGTATATTTCTCTCAGTGGTTTTGCTAAGGTAAGATTAATTCAGGTCTTCTCAATTTTCTGAAATCTCAAATCGAATAAAAATCAAACACATGTCTAAAATGTCACTCAAATCATGAGCGACAGTTTAGACATTAGAGTGCAGAAGTTATCACTACAAATAATGCAATACTGCATTTGAATACTTTAATTTAGCTTAAAAAGATATAAAACACACACTTACCTATTTTCTAGTCCATTTTTATTTTCATTTTAAGGGCGATCTTGCTAGAAAGATGGCTAAATGGTTTAACACTATATACTCACAGTTCCCAATTCCAACATTATATCAACGCATTGGATATTGAGCTGTTGACATGTAAAATGAGTATCTTTCTTTGTATATCACAGGTGGTTATAAAAACTAAATAGGTTAAATATATAAACAGGCAGGAATAGTGCCTGGCATAAAGTATCAATAACTTTTTTCTAATTTTGATCAAGTCTTTCCATTATACATGTGAATCAAACTTTTTTCTTTAGTTCAAATTTAGCTTTGGAGGGCCTCCCGGTGGCGCAGCAGTTGAGCGCTGGGCTGTGAAGCTGCCCGCAGCCTCTGCAGCCCCGGTAAGATCCCCAGCTGCTGGTGCGAGGGTCCCACATGGCCGCAGACCTCTCCTGCCGCGCCTGCTGCTCCCCTCAGCAGTATATTTCGTCAGTCTGCCTGCTCTGTTCCCCACTCTGGCTCTGGTGAATTCTCTCACCCTCCCATGCTTCTGACTGTACCCAGTGCTTGTATAAATAAATAAATAAATCTTTAAAAAAAAAATTTAGTGAGCCTCCCCTGGTGGCGCAGCCGTTGAGTGCTGGGTTGCGAAGCTGTCTTCAGCCGTCTGCTCCCCGGCGCGCAGACCTCTCCTGCCACCCGCTGCTCCCCTCAGCAGTGTACTTCGGTCCTTCTGCCTGCTCTGCTCCCCTCTCTGGCTCTGGTGAATTCTCTCACCCTCCTGCGCTTCTGACTGTACCCAGTGCTTGTATAAATAAATAAATAAATCTTAAAAAAAAAAAAAAAATTGGCAGAAGAGCTAAATAGACATTTCCCCAAAGATGACACAGGCGGCTAACAGGCATATGAAAAAAATGTTCAACATCACTTAGTGAAATGCAAATTAAAAACAAAATAAGACACCACCTCACTGCCATGACAATGGCCCAAATCAAAAACCCAGCAACAACAAATGCTGGTGAGGGTGTGGAGAAAAAGGAATCCTCACATATGGCTGCTAGGAATGTAGACTGGTCCAGCCTCTATGGAAAGCAATATGGCAGCTCCTCAAAATATTCAAAACAGATACACCACATGATCCAGAAATTCCACCCCTAAGTATCTACCTGAAGAATGCAAAAACACTAATACAAAGGGATGCATATATTTCTATGCATCATTGTTTACAATAGCCAAGTTATTTAAGCAACCTAAATGCTCATGCTCAATAACAGAGCAGTGGACTAAGAAGACGTGGTACAGATACACAGTGGAATCCTACTCAGCTATAAAAAAGAAAAGATTAACTCTTACCATCTGTGGCAACATGGATGGAACTGGAGAGGATTATGCTAAATGAAATAAGTCAGAAGGAGAAAGACAAATTTCATTCATATGTATACTACCAATAAATAAAACAAAGGAACTAACAAAATTGAACCAAAATTTAAAAAAAAAAAAAAAACAGAAATATGCCTGCGAATTGAGGCTACTGGGGGGTGGGGGGTACGGAAATGGAAGAGAGATGTAACAAAATGGAGATGGTGCCCAGTATTCTAGGGTAAAGGACTATGAGTGCTTTTGCTGTGGGTGTGATGTGCAAAGGGTAGACATTTGAGGAGGTGTGCACCTATTCCCCTAGATTATGTACAGTGTTGTAAACCAAAGTTACTGCAAGAAAAAAAGAAGAATAGGTTTATTGAACAGCCTTCCCATGCACACACAAAAAAATTGCTTATGGACTGCGTATAAGTCTAGGTAAGCAAAGGCCCAGAAGAAGGTGGTCTAAGGAATGGAAACCCAACTTGCTGCTCAGCAACTTCAATCAGGCAGGTGCACTCCTCTTGTTGGCTGTATTGCTGGATAATTGAGCTATTAACCCATGTAATTTTCCATCCACCCACTGAGCGAAGGGTTAGTATGTGTGTGGAGAGCAGAGCCAGAGGTAGGTAGATCCCAACTAGAAGTCCTCGCTCACTGAACTTTAAGAGTTCCCAATCTAACAATAGGTTGAATAGCAAGGCTCTCATTTGAAAGAAGCCAATTTTGTTGAAAGGGGGATTAATTAATGTGTGGGTTCTAGTGGGCTGGAGTTTAGATGGCTGCTCATCAGTTACTCACAGAGCACTCCAGAGGCAAGATATGATGTGGGGAAGTCTTCCTACAAACACAGAGATGAAAGTTGAAATAGCAGGAAGTAGTTATTCAGAGGGACTAGAACTAATATGTGGAACTGGTCTGGTGGCTGGCAAGGTCCCCTGTACCATCCAGCCCTTGGCCCAAGAGTGGGGAAAGTTACATAAGGTAATGGAACCCAAGAAAGGTAGAGTAGAATCTCACTGGGGCTTTATGAACAGTGGAGTACAGTGTGGAAAGTAGTTACACTCCTCATACCTAAGCTGTGCTCAGCTTCTCAAAAGCCCACGCCTGCCACAGTACTGGGGTGGATTTTTTGCTGTTGTATAAATTCACCACCTGGGGGGTATGTGAGGTGACTGACAGATGACAGATGCTTCAGAGCTCTCCCAGGGCCAAGTCCACTCAACTAGTCAAGCATTTCATTTCACAGCTTAAATGACTTTAGAAGAAACGTCCCTACTGATTAGCTTCACACAGATCACCACAACCGGGAGAGGTGGTAATGCAAGTCTACCTTCTGCAAAGACTTTCTCCTCTCAGAAGCTCTATCCAGATTTTTTCCATATCATACCATAATTTAAAAGCATATGAGAGTAATACACCCTATACCAGACACTTATTTTCACCCATGTCCTTCCAGAGCCCCTCTGATCCAGCACAACAGTCATCTCTCCCCGGCACTGAGGGTAGTCTTTGTCCAAGGACAGTCTCTATAGTATCACAGGCAACTCAACAAAATCCAGGGCCTTGTGTGATAAGAATGCTCTCTAGCCACAGGAATGGTGGGTAGTGAGTCTCTCACCCCTAACAAGCAGCAAATTCCTACACCTTGAAACGCAATTCTAAATGAGACTTACCCGGCCCTTGATGTTAATCCCTGTCCCTACCAAGGCCAGATGCTGTGGCTACACGTGGTTCCCGGTCCTAACCTGCTGACCCAGGAAGTGAACCTCCATTCCTGCCTTCAACAGTCTTATGTACTTCATTTGGGATCTTGTTGCTTGAGAATGTTGCTGATCTTGCAGATTGTTCTAACCCCACCCCTACTCCCAGCCTCCTTCTGTCAATACCAGTATTCAACTCCTTTCTTCCTCTGAGGGCAGGAAGAGAGTGCCAACTCCTGCAAACTGAAGTTGGAGTGGACCTTCCTCCCAAATCCTAAGCCCCTCTGTATATTAGCACCAGTCCAGGGAGCCACTCCAGCTGTTCTGGGTCTCCAATTAGGGTATCTGGCCAGGATCCTTAAAACCCTATGTAGTCACTCCCTCGGGTAAGCTGGTTGAGCCTGTATGAGAATCTTTTGTCAAATAAAGGTGAGGCTGAGTTTTGCTTCCTTGGCCCTTTTATGTTAATCCATCTTGGTTCCTGATTGTAAAATGCAAGCTCTTACAAATTCAATAAACATGATATTGAATAATTGCTCGTCACATACAAATGAGGATTTCTGAGTTAAAGATAATTACACAGTAGACACTTCAAAGAACAAAATGACTTTCCCTGCCCCTTCCTGACAATTCAGTGTTAATGCTGTTAGTTGCAGTAGGGTGAGCCATGGAGGTAGGGAGAGCTGTGGTGGCCTGAGTGTGGGAGTCCAGCAGGTGAGTGCATATCCATACACGAGGGGCCCAGCACAGGATGTCAAAGACCAAGCAGATAAGCATCCACAGATGGCCCAGTGCAAAGTGGTAAAGCCCAATTAGGTTAAGAAGGGCTGTAGAGTGTGACCTGGCATAGAGAGTCAGAATCCAAGCTGGGTGAGGGTGTCCAGATCAGGAAGGAGAAGTCCAAGTTGAGGAAGGCAGGCATCCATCTGAGCAGGCCTGACACGGGGATCCCGAGCCAGAGCAGGACAAGAAGCCATCACACAGGGGTGAGGGTGGGGGGTTGAGTGGAATGTCAGTCAGGATGGGGTTCTTGTGGAGAGGCAGATTGTCATGGATGTTATGAACTGACCTATGTTCCCCCCCCACACAAATTCATATGTTGAAGTCTTACCTTCATTAACTTTGACTATTTGGGGATAATCACCTCTTTAAAGGCCCTGAATTAAAATGAGATTGTTAGCATAGGTACCCATCTAGTCTGAGAGAGAATAGGCCATCTGCAAGCCAAGGAGAGAGGCCACAGAAGAAACCAAACCCACCGACAACTTAACTTAGACTCCAGCCTCCAGAGCTGTCAAAGCCACCCACTCAGCTTGTCTATTTTGTACAGCAACCCTAGCAAACTAATACAGGTGTCGAAGCCTAAAAGGAGTGTGAAGAGCCATGCAGGGAGAGGATGGTGCAGAACTGGGAAACAGGAGTGCATTACACCCGGAGAGTCCCTGATGAAAAGCTGATTCCAGGGCCAAGCTGGGAGAATACAAGAGCTTAGAACATGGAGCTTAGAACATGAACCAAGAAGAAAGTGATCAAAACACCATGGTAGCAAGTGGAAAGACAGTCCCCTTATAGGGGCTTTCACTGGACGCAATAAGGACAATTTTAATAACAAAATAGATGATGAAATAGGATGTGATAAAATCTACTGCATTAGGGCCTCCCTGGTAGTGCAGGCAGTTGAAGCTGTGAAGCTGTCCACAGCCTCTGCAGTGCCGGTTTGATCCCCGCCGGCCTCGGAGCAACCCACATGGCGAGCAGACCTCTCCTGTTTCACCCACTGCTCCCCTCAGCAGTGTATTTCGTCAGTCTGCCTGTTCCGTTCCCCGCTCTGTCTCTGGTGAATCCTCTCACCCTCCCACACATCTGGCCTGTACCCCAATTCTTATATAAATAAATAAATCTTTTTAAAAAATCTACTGCATTAAGTAGAAAACCATGCATCTATGATATAAAAAATACAGAAACAAGCTTAAGATTCTACAATAAGCGAATAGCAAAACTACCACTAACTATACCACTATAGTTAACTATAGTTTAACTATACCACTAACTAGCCCCTGAGCTAATATTCAGCAATACCACAAATACTTTGCAAGTCAGATCATTTCAGGGACATTGCAGTGAGTACAAAAAGGCAGTCTCTAAAGCTTACTGTATGATTCCATTTATAGGACATTCCCAAAATGATAAATTAGAGAGATGGGGGAAGCATCAGTGATTGCCGTGTGCTAGGGACAGTGAGGGCAGTGGGCAGGTGTGACAGTGAAGGGAGAGCTTGGTGGTGATGGAACAGCACTGGATCTTGATTGCAGTGGTGACGCCACAATCTACACATGTGATAAATAATGGAGCAACACACACAGGGTGCCATATCAACTTTCTGGTTTTGATATTGTACTAGAGTTACATAAGGCATGGCCATTCGGGGAAACTGAGTAAAGGGTATATGGAACTTCTCCGGACTATCTTTACAACTACCTATGGATCTATAATTATTTCAAAGTTAAGCTAAATGAGTATAAAACATTTGATGAGTAATGGCTATATAAATAGCTTCAAGCCTACACACACACACAACAAAATACATATTAATTACAAAAGAAAAAGGCTATTTATAAAGTCCAAAGGTCTGGCAGGCATCACATTGAGCAAGAGATCAAAGAGAATAACCTTGGTAATGAGAAAAATCAAAATCCACCCCATCTGAGAAGCATCGCTGAGTAAAAGCAGCATCACTGAGTAAAAGCAGCATCACTTCCACAATTTTCCAAATGTGTATCTTTAAATAGACAAACTAGAAACAAGGATCATTCTCAAAATTGGCCTGTTATCCTCAAATGTACAAAGGTCATAAAAATCATGGAAAGAATAAAGAATTGTTCCAGAATTGTTTTCAAAGAGAGAAAATACAACTAAATGCAACTCATGACTCTCAGCTGGGTCCCTTCTCTAGAGAGGACATTATTGAGAGTGTGTGAAATTGATCAAGGATTGTGGATTGTGGGGTAGTAGTGCCAAAATTTCCTGGAGACTGCACTGTGTTCTTGGAGGAAAATGTCCCCACTTGGAGGAAATGTGTACTAAAGTAATTAGAGGTGATGGGGTATCAGGATTTGAGACATGCAGTAACTCACCAACGGTCACTCAGCTAGCCAGTGATAAAACCAGGCTTTAAGTCTCAGCATTCTGTCTCTAGATCCTGCACTCAACTGCTATTCTATTTCCTAACTCTCAAATGAGTCAGGAAAGGCTGTACTTAGACTTGTAACCCATCTATAAATTGATTATTATTTCAGAGTTAATGTTTTGAATGTCAAAAACCCTTGACAAAACCGATAAAATCCTGGGACACTTCTGCAATAATGGCACTTTACATTCAGGCCTTGGAAATCACATCTTGGAAATCACATCTTGGAAATCACAGAGATTACATGCAATAAAAAAAAGTCCAATACATGAGTCATTCTGTGTTGGGTATAATAACTAGCGCATTCTCCCAACAACAGCTTAAACCTGGTTAACTAAAAGACTAAAATTTAAGTGTCTTGTTCCCTTTTCTAAGAAGGTTCCAGTCAGAACTTTTCTGTTTCTTACTAGAAAATTTTTGTCCCCACTTTAGATCTATTATAAATGGCCTATTTCCAGGATCAATTATCCCTGGAAAACTAGGACCTCCTGTCTACACTTCCTGTTGGTGTTGCCACACATAAGCCTGCTCTGCTCACATTTAGGTTCCACCTCCAGCCCAGGCCCAACAGGACTGGCAATAAGGTATAACCAGGTAGCTCACTATGAGAATGACATGGTTACACCTACCTGACAAAATTCAGTAAGGACTAAGTACAAGTAAAATTCTTGCCTTAATATCTAGTACATGTTAAGGCTTACATTTGTGGAAGTATTACTGTTATTACCTTACATAGCCAAGTTCATGGTTCAGTTAAGGTGATGTCTTCACTCTTGAGTTCTTAGTCATTCCCTGTCAGCTCATATAGTAGCAATAGAAATTCTGTCTCCCGAGGGTTGACTGACAAGGGACGATTTATCTCTCCAGTGGCCAGAATATGAAACTCTATACTGAGCGTACAAAAATTAATTCCTTAGAAAATAGTATACACATCAGAAATGGGAGCATTGTTGAGTCAAGCGAGAAAACCCAGAACACTCACTGCATCAGAGGTAGGATGTATGTGGCTTATTGTGGGTTGCTCGCCATTAATACTGATTTTTGTGGTTGTGTCAAGCAGATTTAATACTGTCCTAGTGAAAACCAACAGGTGAAGTACATCACTGACATGTCATTTGAACCTCACAGATATCTTATATAAATTCACTGTTCCCACTCTACAAATGGGGAAACTGAGGACTTGAGAGATGCAGTAACTCACCAATGGTCACTCAGCTAGCCAGTGATAAAACCAGGCTTTAAGCCTCAACACTCTGCTATCCTAAACTGCTCCCACCGCCAACCATTACTGTGACTCCACACCGCCATAGCCCTCACATCACTCTAAGCTTGGTTCTGGATTCCCACGAGCCTTTCTTGTTTCAATAGCAATAGTGTTGTCCGGTAGCATAAGGGGTCTCTACTGTGTAACACTGAGACACAGGGTGAAAATTCTACTTTCTAAACTTGGAGGAGCAGGCCGCTACTTCAGCAGCTTTTGCTTCATTAAGTGTGGCAAAGCAATGAGAGATGTTACAATAAACTCTTCTGGTTTTTTTTTTAAATGCTGTCTAACAACAAGATCTATTTTTTAAAAAATGCATGTACAGAAGAGACTATGTGGACAGTTCATAGGTAATTTGGTGGTGGGAATACCTGAGGAGAGAAATCAAACCTTATATAAAGCGAACGACCATGTAAAAAAAATATTAAAAAATATAATCGCAAACCAAAACAAATAAAAAATTTTAAAAACGCGTGTGTAGGAGCTTGCCTGTGAGCAGGGCATGTCCTTCTGCACAGCAACACCAGGTAGCTTATGTGTGGAGGGCTACTTACTTTTCTGAAGACCCTCAGTAGCCACAAAATCTTTTGATGAATTAGGGTCAAAAACATAAGCTTAAGTCTACCCTGGGTGATTCTGGAGGAGTTGCCTTCCCTTTTAAGGTGCTTACCAACTAATGTGAAAATAGATTTCCAAAGCAGCAAACTCCACCTCCTCACTTAGATGCTTTCACAAATATCTTGTTTCTATCATCTTTTAGCATGGAAAAAGCTACATGCCTAAAGGACTATATCGAGTTTTTTGATATCTATAAATCCATCTAACAGGGAACACTACCAGGTTCCTGGTTGGGGAGGTAACTCCGGTGGAAGACATTGCCTTCTGGCAACACGTGTATGCCAACTCACCACTGCCACCTGCTGTCCAGGGCCCTTCCTCCTCATTCTTCAAGCCCACAGCGCAGGGGGCATGTTGGCTGATGTTTCTCAGTAGCTCTCTAGCCAGGGATATATGTGGTTCAGAAGTGTTGCTGCTATAGCTCTGGTGATCTGGATCTTGTTTCTAGAAACCATATTCAGTTGTCATACATGACATTCAGACTTTGAACATTTAAATCAATATATTTCAATAAACCAATGACATAGGCAATGCTTCAGTTGCAACCATCACTCAGACTTATTTTGTTCTACTATAACCTTAAAACGTTGTGCAACTGGCAACTGCATTAAAAATATTTCAGCACAAAACATCCCATATTTTATAATAAATTAATATTGAAAAGCACTTTTTCTCAGACTCCAGATTTGTACCAAAACACCCTCAACTCCCTCAAGCTGACTTGAGGGACTTCCAGTCCGTTCCTATGCTGATGCAACTCAAATGCTGGGCATGGTTGCCTACCCCTGCAACCAGGCAGCTTCTGTCACTTCTCCCACTACTTCCCACCTTCAGATTCCCAGTCCTTGACTCTAGGACTCTATCTTGTTTGTCCACCCACCTGCTACCTTCTCCTCTCTAATGGTTCCTCCTTATCAGTGATTCTGCTAATGTCTTTTCACTCTAGCTTACCTCTAATTACTAAGTCCTTTTCAGGCCTTCAAGGTTTGCCTCATCACAGAAGGAGCTCATAAAACCAGTCCATACTTTCCACTGCCTAAGAGACACCTCTGAGCGATGCATCCTTATAATGGTGGTGACACTATGGTGCATGACAGTTTTCAGAGCACACCATTCATTTCTGTGTCCACTGAATGGTCACAAACCCCATGAGACTAGTCTCATCAGGCCACTGCTAAGCTCTCCCATAGTATCCCTCAGGGAAAGAAATGCCTCCTCCTTCCAGTGTCCTGGCAGATGTGTATCCTGGGAAACCACATCAGAGAGGGAGACTACCACATAGACTATGTTTATGGAAGCCTCTTCTCATGCCCCAACTGTCAAGATCCTATTAGAGATTCAGCAGTTAGGGGCCAGGTGCCCCAGACAGTGACAAGAGGTAAACGTGAGAGTCCTCACTTAAGGTCACATATAGATTCTTGGAAACTGTGATTTTAAGTGAACCATGTACAATGAAACCAATTTTTCCACAAACCAATTGATATATGTAAGATTTAAGTTTCTACAGTATGTTTACAATCACAAAAAAACAAAATCACCTAATTTCTAAATAAAGACCCCTAGTCTTCACTGCTAATATGAAACAATCATTTGTGTTCATTTTCCAACCTGCTAATTTCAATTCAGGGTTGGGGTGCCTAGAGCTTATCCTAGCAACTCAGGGTGCAAGGAGGAACCTACCCTGGACACGTGACCCTTCCTACCAGGGTACACCAACACCCACACCCACTACAATGGGAACAACTGACACATGTTCAAGGACCCTAACACACCACTTTCAGGGCCAGGGAGGAAACCCGAACAGACACTGGGAAGAGAAGCAAACTCCACAGACAGTAGCCCCAGCTGGAAATCACTTTCTTTCTCATCAACATTATAACAAAAATGATGTTGAATGAAACAACTTAACTCAAGGACCTGCCATACATAGTGATCCAGAACTTGACTCCAAAGCTCATGAAGACCTGGATTTAAACTGTCCTGACATTTTTTTAGCTGCATGGCCTTTTCCTGTAATTTTGTTTCCTCCTATGTAAAATGGGGATCAGAAATAGCTCAGGGTATTATTGTAAACTAACTGGAACATATACACAAATTGCCTGGCACATAGAAAGGGCACAATGAATGGTGGACATCATTCTAAGTTCTTAAACCTTTACCTCAGAATCATTGGTTCCTCCCAAAACATCACTGAGAATTTGTATGTACTCAGTTGCACCTTTTAGTATATCAACTTTGCTAGGCTTCCTACTTTGGGGAAGAAATGGTACAAGTGCCTTCAGTTTGGCAAAACCACGGTTGAGATTTTTTATCTGTAAAACAAAAAGGAACAGTGACACAGAGAGACTAATTTATACAGACATCCCCCAAACCATAGAAGGGGGTTGTGAGGGTCACTTCCACAGCTCTTGTCTGGACTGGGAACCCAAGCTTCATTGCCCCACTGGTAATGTTGCTCCAGGCAAGAAGAGGAGTGGCATAAACTGGACACTGTGGGTAGATGGGCTGCAAGGGGTGACAGTGATCACCTTGACCTTCTTTTCTTCTCTGCATGTAATGGAGTAGTGGCTAAAGACTGAGTCAATACACACCAGCTCCAGCACTGACCAGTTTTAGGAGAATGTGAGGGATACTTAACATCACCAAGGCCTGCAGAGTGAAGAATATTTTTGTTTTCCTGCAGAGTAAAGACTATCCACTGTGTAGCTTTTAGTGGTGATTAAGGCACATAATTACACATATACTACTTCTTCCTGATCTGGCATAGAAAGTCCTCGGTAAGTGGTAACTTTATTGATAATGAATAAAACCTACACAAGCACTGTGCCATAACCCTTCAACCTCTTCCCCAGCTCAGTGGATGATGTTGAGTCAAGTGGAGTCCAGAGAGACTACCTGTTGGCCAGACTTGGAGTAGAATGAGGCTCCTCATTCTTTTTTAACTCACCAGGGTCTAATCCTCAGTTCTGAAGGCCCAGATCTCTCCCAGATGATCATCCCCTGGGAGACACAGACCCTGGAAGAACTTTCTCCCACTATACCATAAAGCCCACCCATATGGCTCACTTATATCTAAAACCCTTCCCACTCCAAATCAAAGCAGATGGTGGATATAGTTCTATCACAGAATACATGACTAATACATGTAAAACATTGAACTTTGTAATTAAGGAACTACAAATTAAAATAGAAATTGGATGCCACTTTTTTGACATAGCAAGCTGTTTTTTGTTTTATTAATTATAAATTATAACCAGCATTGGGGATAACAAAAAGGGAACAGCTCTGAATCTTACAAGAAGGGATAAAAATTAATAAACTTTTCTAGAAAGCAGTTGGACATCTTATATCAAAAGTGGTGAGAATGAACCAGAGACACACTACAGGGGGGAAGGAGGGATTGGGGTCAAAATAAGGGGGGGTGCAATTGTATGGGCAATATAAAAATTTAAAAAAAATTTTTAAAAAGTGATGAGAGTATATATGTCCCAGTATTTCCACTTCTACCATTTTATTCTAAAGCAATTATCAGATATGCAAATAGATTTAGGCACCAGCACAAAGCTGTGAAAAACATACTTGTTCAACAGTAGAAGACTGGATAAGTGAAGGCCCATTTATATGACAGACAGAGTGCCAGGTCAGGAAGAAATATTTTATGTGTAATTATATCATAATATATATATATATATCACTTAATCAAAGCTGGTCTTTGAAAGAATGCTAAAGAATGTGAGGAATTTTTTTGCTAATGTTCAGTGAAAAAAATTACCAAGGGGATCATCACAGTTTTGTAAAATTATGTGGACACACACAACTAGAAAAACTGAACTGGAAGAAAATGTACAAGATGATAGTTCATTATAGTTAACCTGTGTTGAGGGTGTTTCCCGTCTTTTCTATTTTTTTCCAGGTACATTAATTTTACATCATAAAGGAAAATAAAGGTCATGAGTTTTCAAATGGTAGATTAAAACCAGGACCAGGGCCTCCCTGGTGACGCAAGGGGTTAAGCACCACACTTTGAAGCAATCCCCAGCCTCTGCAGCACTAGTTGGATGCCAGTCCGGCCAGGGAGAAACCCACATGTCGAGGCGGACCTCTCCTGACTCCCCTCAGCAGTGTATTTCAGTCAGTCTGCCTTTTTTGTTCCCCGATCTGTCTCTGGTGAATCCTCTCACCTCTGCCCCCGCCCCCCACCCCGCATCCCTGGCCTGTACCCCAGCTCTTGTATGCATAAATAAATAAATCTTTAAAAAAAAAAAATAAAACCAGGACCAGTTCTCTACAGAAAGCAATTCCTTGCTGGTGGAAAGGTCCACTTAAAATAGCACAGTATTGGATCAGAATCTAGTTTGACGGCCACCTCACATCAAAAGTTACTTTCATAAAGGGTCTAGTGCCCGTTAAAACCATACTTCTCCACTCTTGAAATTCCCCCCCCCCCCCCATTTTTCCAGTCAGTCTTCTCTTCCTAGGTCTTTCTCCTCACCAGACCTAGACAAAGTCCTAGTCGATTCCCTGGGGCTACCTGGGGTGCACAGGCACAGCCCCGAGACCCAGCTGAGCGCTCGCTCCCTCCCTGTTCCACCACCCACGCTCCGGGCTCCAGGATCCCCTCCGCAGCCGCCGAAGCCAAAGATCGCCGGGGCGGGGCGGCCGCGGGCCAAGCCTCCCGGCCGGGCCTCGCGAGCGGCGCTCCCGGCGACCGGTAGAGGCCGCCGGTACCACAGCTCGCCGCGCCGCCGCGCCGGGGAGGGGCCGCGCGCCCGCCCGGCTCCCCGACAGCCACTTTCTCTCGACAGCGAGTTGAGGGGGAGCCTGGGTGCCCGAAGGGGTGGTGTGTTTCCTTATTTGGGGGAAAAAAGGGTAACTCCGCTAAGGGGTCTGCCCCTCGCCCTTGTGCTCCCAGCGGCGACGCCAAGCGCAGGAAAGGCGGCTGGGGAGAGGAGCCTCGGCGCCGCGAGCCCCGGCGCAGCAGAGACGGCCGCGCGATCTCAGGGCCGCTCGCCGCGCGGGGCTTTGAAAAAGCGTCAGCCGGGGCGGCCGGGCTCCGCGTGCTGAGGGGCGCGCTCTGCGCCACCGCCCCACCTCCGCGCGGGCCGGCCGCCGGGGAGGAGCGGGAAGGCGGCCGCCCGGAACGAGCGGCTTCTCGCAAACCCGGACGCGAGCCCGGCCTCGGGGGTCCACGTCGCCTCCGGGTGCGGCGAGTTCCGGGCTCGGGGCCCTCCGGGGCGGGGTCCCGCTGGCCGAGCCCGGGCGGCCGGGGGCGCTGGCGGGGCAGGCGCTCACCCGCTCGCGCTCCTTGGCGTTGGCGACGCGCCGGCGCTCCAGCACCAGCTGCAGGTCCTGGGTGGACGAGTAGCCGCCCGAGGACAGGCGCCGCAGCCGGCAGATGGCGGCCAGCTGGGGTAGCGGCCCGAACTGCTCCCGCAGCACGTCCTCCAGCACCTCGGCCTGAGGGGCGCGCAGGAAGAAGGGCACGGCGTCCATGGCTGACGCGCTGGCCCCCCGCCGCCCGGCCCGTCACCGCCTGCACCTGGGGCCTCACGGGGTGGGGCGGGGAGGGGCGGGGCGGGGGGCGGGGCCTGGACCACCTGCTCGCGTCTCCCGCCCGGCACCTCCGCCCGCCGCTCCGCAGCGGGATGAGGAGTCCACGCCCAGCAGGCTCCAAGGGGGATCACCTGGAACACCGAACTGCAGTGCGGGTTCTCACATTCAGCTCCACACTGGAATCACCTGGGGAATTGATTTTTTGATCCATATACCTGAGTATCCAGCCCCCACTTTCTGACTTCATCAGTCTGGATTGGGGCATGAGCTTCTAGATACATGTATACCCACGTGTATATAAATATGTATGTAGACGATATACATTTACACAAAAAGTTTTCACGAATACATGCAAAGCTTTTTTAAAATTCATTTTGAAATAAATAGAAGTTGCAAACCAAAGTGCAAGAGCATCCCCTCCACCTAGAGGCTCCACTTGCCCTTCTTTCTTTCTTTTTCCTTTTTTTTTTTTTTTTCATATTTGCTCCATTAGCCTCCTTCTCTCTAGAATAGTCCCGTTTTCGTTATTCTTTTTTTCGGAACTGGTCTTTTTCTAAAGCATTTCCTCAGTCTTGTCCTGTCTCCATGACCTATACAGTCTCAAAGAGTACAAGTCTTTCATTCTGTAGCATGTCCTGGAGCCTGGGTCTGTCCAAGGTTTCCTGGCGTTCAGATACAGAAGCAGCAACCTTTTGCAAGGGACCCCATGGGAAGATGCTGGACTTTTCTCAGTGTATCACAGCAGGAGATGCCATGTTGACCTGACCCACCCAGGATGATGTTAACCCTGGTCAGCTGGTGGAGGTAGTGCCTGCCAGATTTCCTCACCACAAGTTTTTCCTTTTAATTGATAACTATTTTTGAAGAGATATTCCTCAGTATCCATTGCTGACTCCTGCCTGAATTAACCAGCGCTCTGATTACAGTATGCTTGGCATCCGGTTGTGAGGAGGCGCTTTCCCTTCTCCCCACTACTTATTCATTTTGTGTTTGTGTCAGCATGACTCATGAATCACTATTTCATTCAATAAGAAATAATCATTCATATCATTATTTATTTTAATGTATTGTCCCAGATTTGGCCCACTGGAGCCCCGTCGAACTGACTCCTCTGTCCTTTTGATGTGATGCTGCCTTCTTTGAGCACTTGCTTCTTGTGCCCAAATAATCTGGCGGTTCCAGGATCATGTTAAATTTTCCCAGCCCTGAAGTCAATTTTCCATTTAGTGGAAGATGGGATTTAGAAGTCAAGGCCGGCACCTACGCTTGATTGTTCATTCATTTTGGAAAGCAGTTGCTGTTCAGATGCTGCAAGCTTTGCAGACAGGAAATCTATGCACACATGCATAAAAGCGTTTGGCCCTTTCTGCATATCTGTGTATAGAGATAGATTTTAAGGCCCTCCCTGGTGGTGCAAGGTGTTAAGACACAACCTATGAAGATATCCGCAGCCACTGCAGCATGGGTTCGATCCCCGGCAGCCAGGGAGCAACCTACATGGCTTAGCAGACCTCTCTGTCTCACTGGCTGCTCCCTTCAGTAGTGTGCTTCAGTCAGTCTGCCTGTTCTGTTCCCCACTCTGTCTCTGGTGAATCCTCTCACCTCCCCATACTTCTGACCTGTACCCCAGTTCTTGTATGCATAAAGAAATCTTTTTTAAAAATAATAAACTTAAAAAAAGAAATAGATTTTAAAATTATGAGTTGACACAAATGCCTTGCAAAGCAACACCTCAGGTTTCTCTCATTTCCCAGCTTTCCCTGGATGTGACTCCCTTCTCCAATGTGAGAAACCTCACTCCCATTATCATTAGTATTTATGTGCTCAATTTCCACATTTAACTGGTTTCCTAACCACATCACCCTCCTCCTTGGCCCCATCTCCTCCTTGGTTCCTCCCTAACACTACCTCCACCACAGGAGAAACCACCAAACACTTAACAGGGTTCCCCCGAGCAGTGACCTGAGAGAGGGGTATGAAATGTGTCACATTTTCTATATTGCTAGCATTTTCCACAATAAGCACGGGTTAATTCTATAATTTAAAAATGTATATTTTAAAGGAAAATAATATTTGTTTGCTCTAAGTTCATTTGATGTTGTCTGCTGGGAGGCAGACAGAAGGCAATAGGAGCCAAACGTACAGGGATAAAGCTTAAAATGACAATAGTTTACCCATTTAACTTTTGTTGGGAGCATGAAATGGACATTATTGACATTATTCTGTTTTATTGCCAAACCTTTGGATGGACAAATTGGTATACAACGGGAACCCAATGTGAGAACCCCAAACTTTATTCCTTCTTATTTACTCCACTTTATCAACTCCAACTCCAACTTTCTGGTCTTCTGTCTGTATAACAGATGGCTACATTGAGCCATCTGTTTGAAGCAGAGTAACCACATGAGCTAGTCTGAGCTAAGGTTTTACATCTGATAGTGACAGTGTTGCTATCTTGCCATCACCCACTAATGCAATGGTCTAGCGAACAAGAGTTTATTTCTCACTCCTCCAGCAATGTGAAAAGGGTGGGTTAGTGGTACATCTCTGCTTTATGGTTATTCAGGAACTTAAATTCCTCCCAAATCTTTGCTCCTCCACCATTGCACTCTGAAAGCAGTGTAGTCCCATTAAAGGCCTCTGCCATCTCTGGTGCCTAGAGAGGGTGCAACCTTGCAGCAGCAAACTTTCCTGACCATTCATACCAAGACAATACCCAGGGCAGGGCTGGGATCTCGTCTAGGTATTCCAAGCAGAGCCAAGGTATTTAATTCAGGGATTTCGGTGCTTACAAAATCACTGATATGTCTGGAGGAAGAGAAGAACTCTGAGTCTGAGAACCAATGTTGTCATCCAAGGAGTAGGATGCCACTGCTCCTGCAGCTGCCACTTAACCCGCCAAAGCTGGGGAAGGGTTCCGACAACACTGCTGCAGAGAAATGCCTCATCCCCACCCCAGGGCTCATCCATAGAAAATACACAAAAGGACGGGAAGATGAACTCTCTTACCTCCACTCTGGTAATCCCAATGTTAATTAAATCATCTTAACTGGTATCCAGAATCCCAGGTAAAGGAATTCTGCAATATGAAACTTCAACTTTCCTGCCCCTGCAATGCAGAAAGTCACTCAAAGGAAGAGAGGGAGGAAAGAGGGAGTTTGAAGGGCCAGTCCACAGTATCTTCTACCCCAGAATCCAGAAATTGCCCTTGCTCCATCTGGCACCCCAGCAGTTTCATCAGTCTTTCCCTGCTCATTACCCTGAGGCCCAACTGAGAGGAACACCCCCCCCCACCTGCCATCCTAGGTGCCCACCATATCACTGCCACATCATGGCTCAGACACAGATCCCTGTCTCTCCTTAGCCCAGTCAAGACATGAGAGAGCTGCTAAAATACAGCTTTATAGGGAAGGCAAAGAATGACTTTAAGAAGGGATTTAAAAACTGTAGAGTTTAAAAACTATAGAGATTAAAAACTAACAAGTCAACTTTGCCCAGAATTCCTATCCAATTCAATTTGGCCATTTCACACTAATATTTATATTTGCATAAATTCATATTATTTTTATTACATATTATTTTATCTCACCACGTTCCTGGGACTAAGACTGTACTCCCACTGTGCAGATGAGAATACTGGGGATTTGAGTGATTTACCCAAGTTCATGCTGCTGGTCAGTGGCAGATTTGAACCTAGAACTCACGTTTGCTGCCTTCACTGCAGTTCTTTTCCTCAAAGTCTGAGTAGCCTCAATCCCACAGCCTCTGGGCCCAGCACCCCACTTCCAGTGGGCCTGCTCCACATGACTAAGGTCCTGCTCCTCTCTCAAGTCCTGCTTACCATGCCCCATATTCACCTCCTTTGAAGGGTTCCTCCTGTTCCACCCCCACTAGGGATGAGCTGGGGTTAATTGGCCACATCACAGGCAGGGTTAACAGCGGGTCAGAAGCCTTCTCCACCAAGAACAGGGAAGAGGAACAACCTACAGGCTTTTGGGCGAAAGGTCATTTCCTCACAAGGACCCTCAGCTCATAACCCTGAGTGTTGTGGGTCCCTCACAAAAGAGCTGAAACTTCCCTGGGGGCCTGAGGCTTAGTCATGGGTCACAGGGGAAGCGCATCTGTGGCACCGGGGTTCATAGGACTTTTGGGCAAGTCACTCAAGCTCTCATGGGTCGTGTAACTAGTTAGCATAGCAGAGTCTCATTCGTTATCAGAATTAACCAGGCAAATCGCTCCACCAACTAAGAACAGCCATGCGCCACCAGCCACGGAATCGAAGAAGAGCTCTCAATCTGTCAATCCTGTCTGCATTCAAACTCTCTAGGCCTGATCTTGCCACCCAAAAAGAGATTATGAAGCAACCTTCCTCAGAGTTGTATGGAGGCATCAATTAGGCCACTGGCATGATAATCACAAGTAATCCTTGTGCGACAGGACCTGTGTACCATATATATTAACTTTTTTAGTCTATACAAGACTCGAGAGGAATTCACCCTGATTATTTCATAGATGAGGAAATTAAGATATGAAAGTCAAGTAACCACTTCTCCTCCAGAAAGGGACAAACCTGGAATGGGACTCAGTCTAATCACAGAGCCCAGGTTTATCACCATCCATGTCTCCCACCTCTCCTAACTCCCCCCAGGGTATCAGTGGTGGCTACGGTAGCGATGACCATTTATGAAGAAAATCGAACATTCAGAAGCTTTGCTATTATACAAACTAAGTGATCCAAACGGAGATGTTCTGAGCAACAGTGCATAATCTGTGATCAAAGCTAGTTGAGAGGACGCTGAGGAACAGGAACCCAATGTGGAGACATCAAGAAAAGATCACTGGGGTCACCTTAAAGAGGATTAATCATACTTAAACCAACCTCAATCCTGGAACATACACGGTTGGGAGTGGAAAATGCTGATCAGATTTAAGAAGGGCAA